GATCCTGTTTACTTAGTACGTTTTTGAGAAACGGGACCTATGGTGTAAAACACCATAGGTGCATTTTAGTAAAAGTCATAGAAAAAACCCACGAGCCGTAATTCTGGTCAAATTTGCAGATCATTTGGTCAGCTTTGAAGTCAAATAATTTCAAATGATTTGCAATTTGACCAGAGCTACGGCTCATCAAAATTCCACAAATCCGCCGATATGATATATAACGAAAATAATTTATCTGAAGTAATATTAGTATCGGTAGCTCAGAAATATATACCACTAGACCGTATAGCATAGTGGAGTTGATTTATACTTTTAGATTTGCCTTGAAATATATATTGTTTCATTAGCAGCTCTATAGACATTACTTTTTGCATATAATCGAATTTTAAATACATAAAGTAGAACTGTGTTAAAATAATCAATTTTTGAATGACAGTTTTATTCTGAGGTTCTTATTTTGAACTATATAATTCAACTACTGTATAGAATAAATTAATCAGAAGAAAGTTATAGAAACATTCTGTAATTCGAATTCCAACTAGGTTAAAGATCATTACGTATAGTCACGAGATCAACATATCAAATATGAAAATATGAACGTGTTTTTTATTATCTGTTATCTAAAAAGCTCATGTTGATGTCCGATCATTATTTAAATTATTTTACAGTGGGATGATTAGAACGTGAAAGGAATAATTTTTCTTTTATCCTTTTTTGGTTGACTAACTATCTATGGTGTGAAGTTGATATAAAAAGGCATTCACCTCAACGCCTTTTCTCTCGTATGTATATTTCGTGTTTAACGCCCACTTGCGTCGTTACTGCAACTATTTAATATCACTCGTCATATTCCGTCACTTAAGTTTCAAAAATGTCTCCTACCGCAATGGAAAACAATGTCACTGACGGAACTGGAATTATTAAAGTTGATTCTTGGTTGGAACCTTTTGCTCCCGTCCTGAAACGAAGGTGTGTTATTCTCGATATCTTGCTCTAAAGTTCTTAAATTAATTTTATTATTAAAACTATATGGTACTCATTTGTCGTAGGCATGCTTCTTTTAAGAAATGGGCTCAAGATATTAACCAAAATGAAGGGGGTTTCGAACAGTTTACACGTGGTTATGAACATTTCGGTCTTAATGTACAATCAAATGGTGATATAGTTTATCGCGAGTGGGCTCCTAATGCTACGAAAGCGAGTTTGATTGGCGATTTTAGTATCCTTTTTTTAACATTATCCGAATTCGACGAATGCTGAAGTCTTTTAAAATATTATATTCGTGAAAATATAAAAAATTCCTTAATCTTTTCTTACTTTGAAACTTTTTAGATAGCTGGGACACCTCTTCGCACCCAATGAAAAAAAATTCATTTGGCGTTTGGGAAATTAGCGTTCCTTCTAACAATGGCATTCCCGCTATCCCTCATGGATCAAAAATAAAAGTATATTCATTTTTTGAATTTTTATTGGATTTATTATTTTTTAATAATTTGGTAATTCAATTAGATATCCATGATTACCCCTGAAGGTGAAAGAATCGATCGCCTTCCTGCTTGGATCAAGCGAGTAACTCAAGATTTATCTGTTAGTCCTGCATATGATGCCGTCTTTTGGAATCCACCACAAAAGTATTCTTTTAGAAATAAACCTCCTCAAAAACCAAAAAGTTTGAAAGTTTATGAAGCTCATGGTATTTAAATTATTAATATTAACATGTTTGACTTATTATTTTATTTCCTAACTAGTATTTATAAATTATAGTTGGTATATCTACACCTGAAGGACGCGTCGGTACTTATAACGAGTTTACGGACAATGTATTGAAACGCATTAAAAATCTTGGTTACAATGCTATTCAATTGATGGCAATTATGGAACATGCTTATTATGCCTCTTTTGGATATCAAGTAACTAGTTTTTTCGCCATTTCCAGTCGTTATGGTATGAATATCATTATTATAATTTATTGTTATAATGCATTCAACTCAAGATATTTCAAGATAACAAGGTGTTATTTAATTTGTTTTGTACTCAGGAACTCCCGAAGAATTAATGCGGCTCATCGATACTGCTCATGGCATGGGTTTATATGTATTGCTAGATGTTGTACATTCACATGCATGTAAGAATGTGTTGGATGGATTAAATATGTTTGATGGTTCCGATCACTGCTACTTCCATGAAGGAGGAAAAGGGCGGCATGATCTTTGGGACAGGTGAATATTATCACTCAATTTTAACATTTCCGTGTATGCAAAAAAATACACTAAATCAACCTTTCTCTATATAGCCGTCTGTTTAATTATGGCCATTGGGAAGTACTTCGTTTCTTACTATCAAATCTTAGGTTCTTTATGGAAGAATACAAGTTTGATGGATTTAGATTCGATGGTGTCACCAGCATGTTGTACCTTCACCATGGTATCGGTACGGGTTTCTCGGGTGGTTATCACGAATATTTTGGTGATTCTGTAGATGAAGAAAGTTTAGTATATTTGATGTTGGTACGTACGATAATATATGAAATTTTGTTCTCAATAAATTCTTAATAAATTTTCAATACGTTTCATGTTGAAAATATTAAACTTTACTATACCTCTTAAGGCAAATGAAATGCTTCACTCTTTATATCCAAACATAATTACCATTGCCGAAGGTAAATATTAACTTTATAAATTATTTATTATCATTCTACATTAAAATCCAACCAATTTATATTTTACGAACTGTAGATGTATCCGGAATGCCTGGTCTATGTCGCCCCGTTTCAGAAGGTGGTGTTGGATTTGATTACCGCCTTGCTATGGCTATTCCAGACATGTGGATCAAGCTATTAAAGGAAACTCGTGATGATGATTGGATCATTGGAAATATATGTTGGACTCTGATTAATCGTAGACATATGGTATTCATCATTTATTATATATTTTATATTTGATCAAATTGTATATTCATTATTCAAATAATTTTTAGGAAAAAACCATTGCGTATGCAGAATCACATGATCAAGCTCTTGTTGGAGACAAGACTCTTGCTTTCTGGCTCATGGATAAGGAAATGTACACCAACATGTCAGAGTTGACTCCGCTTACACCAATTATTGATCGTGGTTTGGCTCTCCATAAAATGATTCGGTGAATATTTTGATTTAGTACATATATATGAGAATTATTATCACTTATAAAAAAAACGTTATGTAGTTTGTTGACGCATGGCATTGGTGGCGAAGGCTATCTCAATTTTGAAGGTAATGAATTTGGGCATCCCGAATGGCTAGATTTCCCGCGGGCTGGGAATAACAACTCATATCATTACGCAAGGCGACAATGGAATGTTGTTGATGACGAATTACTAAGATATAAATATTTAAACGAGTTTGACAAAACAGTGCAACACACTGAAGATAGGTTTGGTTGGTTAGACTCTCCGCAGGTAAACAATTTTAGTGATAGATTAAGTCATTTTCTATTTATTTTGATACTCAAAAATTTACAGTGCAAATTCTTAAATAACAAGGCATATATTTCTCTAAAACACGAAGATGATAAGATAATTGTATTTGAACGAGGAAATTTACTTTGGATTTTTAATTTTCATCCAACTAAATCATTCACTGATTACAGAGTTGGTACAGAATGGGCAGGTCACTATAAAATAGTGATCAATACCGATAGTAAAAGGTATGGAGGACACGATAGAGTAGATGAAAATCAAACATATACATCACAACCCGAACCTTGGAATGGAAGAAATAATTATATTCAAGTGAGTAATTTATTCTATATTTGATTCATATTCATATATTATAATAACTTATTATATTCTTGATAGGTTTACATTCCGTGCCGAGTTGCACTCGTGTTATCCCATAATTAAATACATTTTGTTTCTAAATTATTATTTATTTTGTATAACACCGATTTGGATTTAAAACGATAGCTTGCGAAAAATATAAACATTTACTTAAATATATAGATTAATAAAATTTATATATATATATATTAGTTGCAACATTTGTAAATGGGAGTTTATTATGAAATGCAAATTTCGAGATTCGACCTACTTATTCTTTGATTAATTTTTGATCATTTTTGGCTCCATAAATATTTTCTGATTTTTCTGAAAATAGTTGATACCCTTTCCTGGCAGGATATCCGCGTGTGGTACCGCATTGTGTGCACAACACTTGAAGTTGTGGTTCCGGTTTAGCTATTTTTAATATATAATTTGAATAAAATTGATTTTCCTAAGAATTAAATTAACTCCTTTAGAAAAATACTTACGCTTAATTCGGATTCGTGAAGTAACGCCCGGTATAAGTACTGATTCACATTTTTTGCATAAAGTTCTTTTTATCGAAGGATCAATTCTAAGAACTTGTTTCGTGCCAATGGATTTCATTGTGGAGATATAGAATCGGGAAAGCGGGATTAAACTTTTTTTAGTGTTAGTTGATTTTGTCATTAAAGTTGCTGCTTGGTAAAGAAAATTCATTCTTTGATAAAGTTCACGGTGTATAACTTGACCAGGTTCGTTTTTCTTGCCCATTATTAATGTGAGAAAAAATAGAAATTGTAAACGGTAATATCAGATATTTGTTCATTCAATTGGACAAATGATTGGTTGATATTCCACACAGCTGTAACGTTATTTAATAATCTTTTTACTTTAAAAACAGATTGTGATAGAACCTCTTGAATTACAGTTATTAAAACTACAATATATGCTTAATAATGTGAGCGCAGTAAATCAATCAAAAACTATCTAAAAAGTGTTATTTAATTTATACATTGACGAATATAAAAACATATTCAAAAATAAATTATCTACGTGTTGGAATAGTTTCTTCGTTAAAATACATTTGGAATAGTTCTTGAATATATTTGTCAGAAATTCGGACTTAATGATAAAAATTATTAATGATTAATAATAACTAATTATTAATTTTTATTATTACTAAAAACTCAAAGTAATTGATCGGCATTACTGCATTAAGCTACTTATATTAAAAAAAAAGAATATATAAAATAATAATTTCCCGAGTTCAAATTTTGACAAAATGGCAGATCAAGTATGTTATTTTACTGATTTACCTTATAAGTTCGATTTATTTAAATTTTAAATTCATGCATTTTTGAAAAAGGAAGAATTTATTGAACAAGATGAAATCATTGAAGAGCAAGTACTTGATGATCAGGATAACGGACCAATTCCAATGGACGATGATGATGGTACGGTTTATTGTTTTAGGTTTTTTTAATCAAAATCGGATATCATTCTAAATATTAAAATAGCTTGCATTTTATTGATTAAATGATAGATAATGCTGAAGTGGAGGATGAAGTTGAGGATGAAGCAAGTATAAATGAAACAAACAACGAAGAGATGGTCGAATTAGTAGATGATTCTGTGCAAGGATTCTTCGGTCATAAAGGTTAATTAGGTTGATTTTTATAAAAATTTTGAAAAAAAAGGATGATATACAAAATATAAATAATAATTTGTGTTTCTTTGTTATCAGATTCTGTATATGCAGTTGATATACATCCAATTGATCAAAATATTATTGTGTCTGGTGGTGGTGATGAAAAAAGTTTTCTGTGGAGATCGGATACTGGAGAACAAATATGTGAACTTTCAGGTAATTAGGAGCTTTTGAAAAGTACCTACTTTTTATAAATTTTTCTAAATCTATTCGTTATTTATAACAGGCCACTCGGACACAGTCCAGTCTGTATTATTTAGTAAAGATGGGCAATATGTAGCAAGCGGTGGTATGGATGGTAAAGTTTTTGTGTGGAAAGTTGATAATAGAGAGCTCATCGCATCGTTAGAAGGTCCTGATGAAGTTGTGGTAAGTTAGTCTATTATAAAATAAAGGATCATAACTTTGACTTTTTCTTGTTTCCAATTTAATTTTATTTATTTATAGTGGTTGGATTGGCATCCTAAAGGCACAATTCTCCTAGCAGGCGCAAACGATGGAACAATGTGGATGTGGCAAAGTACATTTCTGTCCAACTCATGATTGTGTGTCATGTCATCTTTTTTTAATTATATATTATTTTTTTGTCCTAGTTCCATCTGGCAATTGCATGAATGTTTTTTCCGGACATGCAGGTCCAGTAACTGCGGGTCAATTCACACCCGATGGTAAAAAAATCGTCTCTGGGTCAGAAGATTCCTCTTTAATATTATGGGATCCAAAAACTGCAGCGGCTTCTTTAAAAATTTCAAGTATGCAATCTAGAAATTATACAAACTTCCGTAGATATTACTTACATGTAATTATTACTATTTGTTACTAGGGGAAGATGCACGATTTCATAGAGAAGGAATTACTTCACTTGCGATAAATAAAGAAAGTGCATTGATTCTTACTGGGTCTACAGACGGTTCCGCTATACTTGTAAACTTATCTAATGGAGCGGTATGCATTTTATATCAATTTTTAATTTATTTATTATATCTTGATAATTTTAAATTTTATTATTTGATTTTAGATCCTTGGATCTTTTGAAAATCACACGGAATCAATTGAAACAGTTGGATTTTGTAATGTCCTTCCTTTATCTGCTACGGGTTCTGTAGATAATAAACTTAATATTTGGGATGTTAATACTATGAGGCTACGTCAAACTTGTCATCATGATGTACGCTTTAAATTTATTGAAGAAATTGCTTTGCATTAGGGTTTCAATCCATTAAGCATTTATCCGGATAACTATCAGATATCTGGATCTGAATTTATTCGGATATCTTTGAATTAACCGGATAATTAGATGCGGACAAACGGATGACGAATTTATCCAGATTGGAACTCTGCATTTTATTAATTGATCTATTTAACAATAATTTTCCTTTTTTTTTAAGGACGCAATTATTAAACTTCAGTGGCATCTAGATTCTCCGTTATTGACAACTTGTTCAGCGGATCGGACGGTTCGATTGTGGGATGGTCGAACTGGTAATAATGAAAAAACTTGGCATGGACATCAAGATTCTATATTAGGGTTTGCGCTTTCAAAGTATGAATCAAATATCCGTTTAATTTTTATGGAGCTGGTATTTCGCATCACTGCGAATGATACACTAATATGTGACGTCATGTGATGTTACAAGTCTGACGCAAACTATGTATAATTCGTAATATAAACAAGTGTGGAATACCAGATTTCTTTTTTTATGTGCCATGTATTCAATGTTATTAATACATATATCTATTTTAGTGATGGTGAAAAGGTTATAACGGCAGGTGATGATCACGTATGTCTTGTATTCAATATTTAATAAATTATTTTGAGATGGAAAAATAGCTTGAATAATTCTTCATTTTGTAATTATATAATTATTCAAATATTTTAAATACTACCAAAAATGGCTGTATAAGAGATCATTAGTATTTTTGTAAATGGGGCATTTTGGAGTAATGAGGCATTTTTGTTTGCATATAAACCCGCATCGATTTGCATAAGAAACGACCTTTTCGTGTACTAACAAAAAGTTTTCGTCGAACGATTTTACTAGATGGTCTAATCTCTAACTTAATATGAATAAATTTTTTTTATTTATCGCGTAAGGTCAAAAAATCACATTTTCAAGATATATTCAGATTATATTCAGATTAGACAATATTTTATTATTCGATTTAGAAAAATTTTATTTTTATCTTTAATAAAAAAAAATAAAATAATGGATTGTCGTTGCTGGGAATCGAACCCAGTGTGAATCACCGACAGACAACGACTTTGCTCACTTAATACTCGAGAATAGACTTTAAAAGAAATTAAAAGTACTACTCCGTCATTATATTAAGCCCAAAAACCGTTTTTCTAAAAACGTAAAAAGGGAATGAGAACATTCCTTATCTGCACCGGTAAAAGGTAAACCCACTAATGTTTCATTAAAGATGGGTAGAGTACATTCTTTAACGGGACAGTCTAATCGCCTCGACATTATCC